GGAAGATTCGTTCTCGTTGGAAAGGTCTGATTTCGTTTTTTTTTTTTTTTTTTTTTTTTGCAGAATGTTGTATGGTACTATGTTTCTTTTTTTTTTTTTTCTTTTTTTTTTTCCGTTGTGTCCTACCGGTTGTCCGAGGCTCGGGAACGACCGGGCTACCGGTAGCCTGAGCCACGGGCCTTAACAACCGGTACTGGTGGTTTAAGGATAGATAATGGTGGGATAGCCCGCATCCTATGTTGACAAATAAGACCAGAGGACCTGGTTGATGACGGAGATAAGAGGAATGGATGGTGGCCTAGTATGTACTCATGATGGAATGACAACCTACAATATAGCGGCTGGAGGGTCTACTTGATGACGGAGATAAGGGGAGGGATGGTGGCCAACATAGGCTAGGGTACCTCCAGATAGCTTACGACGGACAACGATCAAAATAGCGTAGTAGCACAACCACAAACAATGTGACCAGAGAGGGGTCTACGGGGACGTCTATAGGTAGAGGGGCGAATGGTGGCCGCACATCCAGTGATAATAAGCTAGAACCTCCAGGTTGCAATACAATAACAGTCGTACATATAATGAACGATACAACAAGGTACGAGCAGAACAAGGAATGGAACTGGCTTGGGGAACAGGAATGGGTCCACCTATGGGACTTGTGGAAGGACGCCGTCTATGCCAAGCGCTCAAAGTTCCTGTCCGACAGGGCTCATCCCCGACTGTGCTTCAATCAGGGCTGAGCTGGGTAGGTCCTGCTCAGCCCTGGTGCCTACAACCAATGTCGGGTCAGGTCATCCCCGTACAGATGATGGGTGGGTGATAAATCTGAGTGGCAAACACTGAGGTAGGATTGTTGGAGTAGGGGTACGCCAGGGAGAAAAACAACGAGAGTGGGAGGGAGGGAGTCTCATAAGAAATAGGGACCTGTAGGGACCATCGGGATAACCAAATGGCCGACTACCGAAGGTGACTGTCATATGTCTAGCATCCAACCTCTACACCAACCTGGGCTTTATAAATGGGAAGAAAAAAAAAAACACAATCACAAGTTCGGCGTTCGCAACAATTAATAGTATTTAAATTAATAATTTAATACTATACTTGATCTTATCCGAAAGCCCGAGAAAGGTATTCCATTGCTTTTTTCATGGGATATTATTGAACTGTCATGTGTTCCTTTTTTTTTTTTTTTTTTTATGACTTTTCCTGCAATTGCCGAGCACTCACCTAGTTGATGTTGCCAGCATGATCAAGTTGCGCGTTTTATCCGAAGTAAGCAACTTCAAGGCATTAGAAACTCCCTGGTCCATGACCTCAAGAGACGCGATTCCGTGCTGCTGCACCTCCACAGGTGCGCTAACTTGTAACTGATCCAGCATAGCTGACCCATTTGAGCTGCTTAGTTCCAATTTTCGCTGTCGCAAAAAGGCACTCAGCTGCAGCAACACAACAGACAGTCGGGGGCCTTCTTAGCATTCTGAGCAACTACTGGACTCGTTCCCTGAATGATCGAGCGTATCCCCCTATTGCGAAATCACCTCCTCAATCAATACTACAGTACTCCATTCAATTAACTTTCAACTTTCAATCGGTCGGAGATATTCAACAAAAATGTCAAAAAGTTTGAAAAGTTGAAAAAGGGATGGCAAAATGGTCCTCATCGATGCTACCAGTCGGGCCGCCCAGGTCAACCTGTTTTCCCGGGCAGCACGGCCGTGCAAGGACCAGGGAAGGTCTCACCCCCCCCAAAAAAAAAACCGAAAAAAAATGACGTTGCGCAGAAAAATAAGCTGAACGACTTTTGCCTCAGGGTCAAATCGAAATTCTTTACCAAATTTTAAATTAAAAAAATAGTGAAAAATATTTTTTTGTTTTTGGCCCGACCAGGCAAGTGGTCCCGGGCCACTCTGGTAGGCTAGGTCCTCATGAGGTGCCAAGCCACCCTCTTAAACTTTCAAAATTCCATCATCATTTCCCAGAGACATGCTCTACATAGTTGCCACTCGAAACACCACTGTGCATACTGCTTCTCACCATTATGCGTATGCTTCTCACCATTACGCGTCACAGCAACAGCGCTCCCCATTTCATCGCTCGCTTGGAACAACGACCAACCTGAATGAATGGGTGTTTTGACTGTGCTTCCCACTGCCTACTCCTGCGAGGTTGCAGTGCAGGTTGAAATCAGCCTTGGGTCTGTAGACCCTCGGCGCAGCCTAATGACTCGCCATGTTATGCACTCTGTACTCAGAATGCCGATTAATTTCAGCAATCCTCACAAAATAATGAAACAGACGACAGCCCAACGGGAAATGAAACAGACGACAGCACAACGGGAAGGGGCGGGGAGAGAGATTCTGACTAGTCAATGGTAAACAAATTTTATCTTGCTTGGCAGAAACATCTAGTGAGAACACCCTGGCAAGGCTTGGAAATGCAAACGGTGCCGTCTACTTCAGCATCCGCCCCCCCCCCCCTGGCGCTGAGCCTAAACGGACCCGATAGTCGACCCTACCAGACCCTATGGTCGAGGCTCACCCTGCTAACCCCTAGGACCCCCAATCCTACCTGCGGGCAGTGTAGGGAGCCCGTGTGGAACTGGGGATGCCACAGATGTGTCACACCAATCTTGGTGGCTATGGCCGCCGTCTTCCTCCTCCCTACTACTATAGCTATGGTCGACTCTCGTAGCCAGGGCTATCGCTTCTTCCCCCAGTACTTTGTCCTCTGTCCAGGTCACACTATCGCACAAGTAACTAGCAGCGCTTGCGCAACTTTGCAAATCAATAACTGGTTTTGCTTGGCACTGCAGCAGCTAAATATAGCTGCCGTTGACTGCGTTTGGCTGCTTCGTACTGGTACCGGTCGCCCGCAGCCTCTGCCTGCCAAAACTGGTGCTCCGGAAGTCTCCGGACTTTCTTGGGACGCTGCTGCAAATTTGGACTTTGGGACTTGACTTCCTCTGCAGGTACCGGCAAACTTTTACCGACCTGGGACATTTCGGTCCCGCAGCCTACGGGTCTACGACGCTTTGACCTACCGACCCTACGACCTACCCTACTGGGACAGCCTGCGACCGGGACCAACTGGGAAACTGGGACCGGGACTTTTGGGACTGACTGTGTGAAGTCCTTTCAAGTTGGTGTGCTCTCGGCTTTGTAATTCTGCGTTTCGACTTTGCTTACATATGATTGTTCTGCTTTGAGTCTTTCGCTGCTCGGAAAATTTGTCTTCCCATTTATTGGTTCTCTGTACCTGCACAACTCCAACACACTCATGCATATATGCTACAAGGTAATTCTTCTTTTCTTTCCAGAAAAAGAAAAGAAACGAGAAAGAAAAACAAAGGAGATCTTCAAGGTCTCAACTTGACCTGCCATCAGACTCAGGACCGTCAACACATGCGAGTTTCGGACCCATGGGATGTCTGGCAGGGTAGGGCCCAGGAGAGCATACGAGTCAGGTTCAGCTCTCTACCGTCTTCACCCGAATAGAACGCCCGGTCATTATAATGACCGGGCATTCTATTCGGGTGAAGACAGTAGGCCTTAACGTAGAGCCAGGACCGGCAGATGCTCTGGGCCAGTTGGCCTACGACCTACGCGCAGAAGGCCATACCAGCCAGGCAAAAGGCAGAAAGGACGGTCTTCTGACCTGGACATCAGCCCGTGGTACAGGGCTGGGCCTGGTAGGTATAGCTGCAGGCCTGCAGGCCGGTTGGCGAGGAAGAGGAATCCCAGGTAACCATTTCTTCAGTGTTTTGCGTGCAGAGGAGTGAGGTGGGTGGAGGCACCCAAGCTCCAAGTGATCTGGGTTCGGAAAGGACAGGCATAGCCTGGGAACCTAGGTACTGATGGGCTTAGGGTTTAGGGTCTAGGGTCTAGGGTACTAGGATGTGTTTGGAATCTAGACCTTAACCGTCTAATTTTTTTAGGGTTAAGGTGTGTCCGGAGTCCAGACTTATCTACAAGACTATAAGAATCGCTATTTCTTATCTCACGGCCTGAAACGCAGGCCGAAAGCGTTACCGCGGACGGCCCAGATCGCAGGCTGATCAGAAAACTTTCTGATCGGCCTGCGATCTGGGCCGTCCACGGCACGCTACCGGCCTGCGATTCAGGCCGTGAGATATCGGTACCTGAGGCGGCTGTTTGCCTGCCCGTCGGCCCGTAATCGTGGCCGCCCCCCCC